AAAAAATCATTAAAAAACAACAAATAAGGCATAACTGCTAGTATTAAATTGTAACAAAGTCAAACATACACATCTGCTGTTACCAACTAATTTCAAGCCCATCAGAATAATGTTATTTCATGGTTGTCCTATTTGATATTAAGTTAATATTACTTTGTTCTGTGAGATGGTGTATGTTAGTTATTTGGAGGACAAAAACCTGTTACACAGACCCTACAAGAGTAGGATAAGGAAGATGATGTATACTGTCTCTCAACATTTCAAATATTTCAAGATGCTTACTACTACTACTTACCTTGATGACTAGCATGTCAATGACTCTGACATCGGTAACATTTTTGTTGTTCAAAAACATCTCTTTCAGCTTTGCACGGCATTGATCTTCAGACTTGGGCATATCAAATTCTTTCACTGAAAAATGCGATTTTTTAGAATACATTTGTAGATGAAAAGATAACTTCTATGACATTTATTCATTGTTGTAGCCACAAAACCAGATATCTTAAGAAAATAAATTCCATTTAACCAATGTAAGTAACCAAGATACTACTGCAATGCCTATACATGAAGACTTTACCAATTTGAAAATAAAATATGCTTCTTTGATAAGCATTACTGATATGCTTTAGAAAATAAATACTATTCATTAACTGATGACATAACAAGGTACAAACCTACGTAAGGAATTTGACGATACCATGCCTTGTATAAGTTCAAAACTCTTGCTCTAGCTTCCCCACGATTAAGAGAAAGCACTGGCCTCACATTTTTTGTGCCGACTTGAATTGCTTGCTTTGCTGACATTGTTGCAGTATTAAAACAATAATCAAAATTATTCTTATGTCTAGAATCGAGATCGAAAAATGTTTTGACACGATACGTCAAAGTCAACCGACTGTCAATGTCAAATGTAGTTTTAAATACTGGGCAAAGGTAACTTTATCGTAAGTAACGTGTGGAACGTACTTTTATTTTTTTGGACTTGCTTTTGATATAAGATTTCTATTTAACCACGCGAAAAAAAGTATACTAGTTTGTTGTAATTTTTTAATTATACATTTAACAATCTTTTTATTATTTTAATAAATTAATAGCTACAGTGTTCAAACAAGTTTTTAAAATACACGTTTCACAAACTTAGTCAACTATACTTTCAACACTAGATACTTAAACGTACACGACTGATAATTAGATAACATTAACATTTAGAATATAAGAGGACATGTTTTCGCGCCATGAGTTTTGGTATTTTCCACGCTATATGGATTTATGAGGAATGTGTCCTTCATACGTCCAGGCATGTACGTAAAGAATACGTCGCTGAAAAAATACATTTTTTTTAAATGTATAAAATGAGTTGATATTTTGCTAAGTTTAATATACATTTATATACTTACATAAATGACTCGCTGGGATAAGCATCAGATTTTGTAGTAGACCACCATAGTCTGGTTTGTTCAAGCTGTTTTATTCTATTCCTTGTAACGAAATCATTTAATAATATTTTAAACTGAAACAGACAACGTGCAAAAATACTGTTAAAAAATTGTAGACATTATAACTTTTTACATTTTTATACAATCGTAGTTTATTTCTTAGCTACACGCTTACTAATAAAGAACAAAGGAATATACCAATTTTTGGATTAAAAGCCGATGAGCCCAACTCATATGATCTAATTGTTCCAATGTGAACGGAATTCTGTAGGCACGGGCTCGGAAATCAATATGTTTAAGATCCAGCCATCGTCGCTGCGATTTAAGCATTAATCTCTCTATAATTAAAACACAAATAATGAACGAAAAACACGAGAAACCTAAAACATTAAAACAAAATTTGCATTGCCAATACGTTTTGCAACTTACTCTGTAGAGCGGGAGACATATCTCCTTTAACTCGCCTTCGGACCCACTCTTGTAGATTGTTTAATAAGTTGGCTTTAGGTAAATGGGGGATAATAAGAGGTGTATCTGACAATTCAGCCAAAAATGCCTGTAAACCCAAAATGCACAAATTTTTTTTCGCGGTAAAAAGAAAACAATTGGTGAAACATTTCACTAAAAGGTGAACGAAGTATGACTATTCATATTGTTTTTAAATAAATTGAAGTAATAAATGTAAGTAGAATTTGAGAAACTATTCTCTATCACACGTGGTAAAATAATAATTTGAACCGTTATAATATTAAAAAAATTACTCACCGCTAATAATTCTTTCTCTGATAATCCAGATGGTAATATAGTGGGTTCTTTGGGTTCACCCTGTTAAATACAATTATATTATTATGTAAGAAGTACACAGAAATCAAAATGTATCTATTATAAACAACATTTATATTTTTATAACATTACTGTCCATATCGATATTGTATTTAGATAAAACGTTTTTTTTTTCAAATTTTGAAATTTATAAACCGATATTGTATCGACTGGCGTGTATTTGATTTTATCAATCTACCCGAGTAGAGCTGGGTTGCTAGTTAACAAAAATAGCACAAAATAATTTTGTACCGAAGATTGCGATGACATAATTGCTTGTTGAAATGTATCTTTGATGAAATCCTCCGTGGGATCCATCTGGTATATTTTAGCGTAATCCAACCAGTACGGGCCGTGCTTTGTTGGTTGATAGAAATATTTTTCTGTCAATGCATTTTCGTTGTGAAAATCATACAGATGTCCGCATTTGCACTTTGACTTGTACAGATATTCCAACACCGTGTCCCTTAAAAAGGAACAGAATAACCTCAATAAGAAAAATTTGAGAATCCAGAATCTATATATGTTAAAGAGCGACATAAAAATATACCATTTGTCCATACAATCGCAATTATCTTCGCACGCCTCTTTCACGTCTTTAGGAAATTTCCAATAACCATGGATGTGAAGAAGCACATCGTTGCCAAAAGCGACAGCCCCGCCATTGATAGGCACGTAGCCGGTCGGCAACAACGATATGTCTAAAATACAAACATATTAAAAAACCATTTATACATGCGTCATAAATAATTGCATAACGATCAAAAATCACTTATGTTTTTGTTCGTATGACAGAAACAAATAACAAATCTTGTATGAAGAAAATATTTCACATTTAAAGGAGCAAACAGATAAAATCATGGCCATTCAAGTCAAAAGAATATCGTTTAAACAATTCCTACAAATTGCTTTAAACCCTAAAGCATTTTGTTTTCTATAAAATATAACACCACTCTCTCTTACCGACGCTTTACTTTCTTTAATAATAAAGATCAGAGGACGAATAACGTACTATTTAAGATGAAATGTGGCCTTCCTCCGGAAAACACGACACCACCAACGTTGTACTGAACATTGTCGTACGGCGAGTGGAATTTCGGTCTCGCTTTTATCTTTAACATTCTCAATTTCTTCAGATATGAAAGTAATTTTGGATCACTATTACCTAAAACATAGCAAAAATTTATTATCTATTTTTCAACGAATTAAAAAGTAATACGAAAATGTTTTTCAATGGTGTAATCTGCGTAACATCGACTCCCTGTAATCCAAACGGCTTCGGCGATTTTAGGCTTTTTGAATACATACGTAATGTACACGGAGGCTCCCAAAATTTATATGTGCAGGTTCGTAACTCAGGTCTCTCTTTCTTGTTCCTTTCCTTTCGTTTTTCCAGCTAAAAATAAAATTATTAATTCAACTTATCTTGCAATAGTGGCAAATAACTTTCAACTGATCACACTTACAAATTTTTGATCTTCACAAAGCTTCTCGTAACTCTGTAAAAATAATACGCAGACTTATTTTTTATTAAAATAATATTTTATTAGTAGTCGTAATTTGAGATGAGTTTGACTGTAATTGTAACAGCAAATAAGTTTTTTCGACCTCTATATGGATAACGACGCTCATGGTTTTATTTTCGTTTTGGGTTTTTAAAGAACTTACGGATTGGCTTCTCAACTTGACTTTATTTCCGAGTGGTGGAGGTTTGGTTTCTTCTTTCACAGGATGCTTTCTATACGGCGGAACGTAATTCTTTTGCAAGTAATCACCATATCTTACATTCGGCTTAAAATTCCTAGGTGGCTCTGTAATATTTAATACAATTATAATTCTCAGATGAACTAAATTTATATTCCTTTTCCAAACATAAAATGGTTAATAATAGTCGGAAGGTAGTTAAAAAACACTTTGTTATATTATATTTCTTAACCTACCCAATGTCGGCCTTCCCGAACCGGACAAAGAGTCCAAGTATCAAATATCTATAAAAATTAATCAACTCTATCTCTAAGTATATAAATTACTCTGGAGTTTTAACTTCCATATTATGAGGTACAAACTTTTTGCTTTAACTTTCTTCGCTACAACTTTTGACTCCGTCAATTTTTCCAACCTCTCGATGCATTCTGCTAAATCGATAAAAACTAAACTGGACATCAATATCATTGAATTTATATCATATTCTGCAAAATAAAACCGTTATTAACCTAACCGCAAATATGATATATCAGCCTCATGTCATAAGTTCTTGGCACTATTAAAAGAACACGGGCAAAGTTATAATATTTCGTGTCAAAGATATACTTTTACAATATTAGGAACTGTTACAATTTATGCACAATTTTCTGACTAAGGTGCGACATGGAAAGCGGTCAATTATTTCAAGGGTTCGTTTAGTTCTGCTAAAGCGCCTGGTGTGTTAATTTTTATATAATAAATCGTATTTTCAATTATATTTTCAAGATAAGTATTGAATAAATAAAAAAAATCTATTTTACCCCCTCGTAATTTACTTGGTGGCATTTTATAATAAGCGGTATACAGATTCCATATAAAAATGCCTGGGTCTTCTATAGATTCCGTCATAGCCTTCATTAACATAGATCTTGGTATTTTTAATGTGAGTCCAAGATCCGACAAGGATTTTCTGGTACGTATCGGAATATCTTCTATCAAATCTTGGTGGATATTTGATTTCAAGTCATTCAAAACGTTCTTTTGCAAACGCGACAATTCAAAAAACCATCCGGGTCCTGCTTCTCTTTGTAATCGTTTGAGTTTTCTCAGGGCTGCCAGTTACGAAACGTACATCATATAAATAAGTAAAAATGCATGAACATTACTGATTTAAAAAAATTAAAGCAACCCATTTTAGTGCAGTGTAACGCTCACGAATAGTTATCACAAAGGGAACCCTTCCATTTAGTATGGGAAATCTATACTAAGGAACCGCTTAAATAATCAACTGTGAGCGTGCTGCTTAATTCTCAACTTAAAGCTGTGTGATTGTATAAGTATAAGAAAGTTACCTTCTTTTCGTTGATACCTCTTTAGATCTCTCAAAAACCTCAACCACGCACCAACGATCTCATTATACGGCTTTATATGTGCATTTTCTCTCATTTCCCGTTCCAAGTAAACCCAGACAGGCTCTTTTTTAGGCCCGTAAATGGTCTGACAAGATATGACTGGGTATAAGATTACGTGTTCAAACTTAGAAAACTAACGAGATGATATCTCGCAGTGGGGAATACAAACATGGGCGTCGAGAGTGATAGGGGGTGGGTGGGGTCTCCATGGGAATCGCCAGGGAGTTGGGGCCCCCACGCGATTCCCAATCATCATTCCGATTATTCCCCCTGGCGTGGAAACAAGGTTGGAATTGGAAGGGGGAGGTGTTAATGATAAGTAAAACTTCGCGAGATGGTGTGGCTGAATTGACTCGTGCACATATCTGATGGTTTCGCGAAACACTCGTGCTTTGCGAAGTAAACTATTAAATTAAAACTACTTTCAACATTCAAACAGGTTTTTTTGAATCAAATTTTTACGTAACATCAAGATAGTATATGCATTAGTGATAGCTCACCTTTAGAGCCAGAAATTCTTGAACAGTAGGCATCTTAAACTTTTTCATTTTGATTTTTATCGGAATTTTCAAAAGAAATTTAAATAAAACGAAAATTTAATAAGTTAACAAAAATTTTGACAATCGAAACTGATTAGAACCAATGAAATGATGTCTTGAAAGATGATTTTTTCGTCTTCTAAAAATAGTGTTACGAATTCCTTATTAAATACTTATTGGTAAGTTATGATAAAGAAGTAGCAAAATTAGGGCACAAAATGACTTGAAATTAAAAGGCATTCAAAGAATAACAACACTTAAAAAATATTGAATGATGTTTAACACACTTTTAAGAGATTTCAGCCTTTGAATTTCTAAACATTATTTCAATAGCATCAAGGGAAAACATTAGTTTCAGATGACATCATTTTCTTGTTTACTTTTCATTAATACAACTACTCTTATTTTGTCACATGTAAAATAATAAACCTTTAGAAACTTGAACGAAAACTGTTTTATAAAAAGAACAAGAATTATGTTTTAGGAAAATAATTTAATAAAACTTAATAATTTATTTTCATAATTGTATATTTTTAGTTTTTTCCAGAATATCTTTATAAGGTGGGTTAATTGGTCCTTGTACAGGTTCTTTGTATTCATAATTTGATTGTCCCTCTAACAATAATGAATATGAAGTGTCCGAGTCATAAGCACTTAAATCTCCACAAACATTGAAGGGTACAATAAATCTGTTAGGACCTGTCAATTGATTAAAGTCACAATACTTGTGGTCTAAAAGAGGATTGATCATAGTTGGTACAAAACCATCAGGTGGAGTATAATTCTGACAGATAACAAAGGCTTCTATACTAGAATTTCTTGAACTCCTTGGCTTTGAAACAGTCACCAATTCAAAGAATTGCTTCAGTTGAGAATAAAGAAGTGTGACATCTTTCCCCCGGAATATCTTTGCAACAAACACACCTCCATTTTTTAATACATGTGTAGTTATATTCAATGCGGCTAGCAGAAGTTGCGACTGGACGTACTCATCGATATCATGTAAGCCTGTCACATCGGGAGCACCATCACAAACAACTAAATCTGCCTGTGATCCTTCAAATTCCTTGATGATTTCATGCGCAGTGCTCACTTTAGTAATGTCGCCTTGGATTTGTTTTACACCTGGAAGAGCAGCCATAGCTTGCAAATCAACAGCAACGATTTTAACATCGTTGACATTTGTAGCATTTTCTTTCAGTTTTTTTGTTAAAACTTGACTCCAACTACCAGGTGCCGCACAAAGGTCAACAGCCCGCAAAACACCGTTAAATATATTGTATTCTTCATTAATTTGTAACAACTTAAATGCACTTCTAGCTCTCCATCCTTCTTCCTTTGCTAACCTGTAATAGATATCTCGTTTGTCTTTCGAGGTTTTCCCCATTTTTTAGTTTTTAAACAAAAAAGTGTTAGAATACTTGTGGTGACTTATTCACTTTTAGGCTTTCTCTTATAAAATTAACGATTTTCTCAAATGGATTTATTTTGGCAATACACACCAAGATGACATATCATTAACAATACTGTCACTGTCATCATAACAGTTGGTGGCAAAAGACAAAGACAATTAAAGTTGCATGGAAAGAGAGGCATAGAGATCATAAAAAAGGAAACAATTTGGAAACATTATAAAATAGAAATAAACGGGACTTCTGCCATGTTTATATGATTATGCTTACTTTTAGAAAAGTTCTATGTAATATAATGTTTATTATTATTTCAAACAGTAGGAAAAGCGTAATAATCTTCGTCATAATTGTTAAAAATTTTGCAAAATACTATTTCCGGTTTTTACTCTTATTGTTTTTTTTATAAGTAGATCATGTCCAAATTCAAATAAAGGCGGTTTTTTTTTTGTTTAAATTATATACCTACTAATATTTATTCACTTGTTAACATATTGCATAACTTTATCATGCTTTCAAAATAATTTATATAAATTTCATAACTGCTGGTGCCTGCGCTAAATATGCTTTAATTTTATCAGATATGGAACTTCTTTATTAATCAATAGCAATTAAGTGTTAAAGTAAATAAAGTTCTCGCGACGACGAAATTCAGATCTTTGAGACTTTAATAGGAACAAAGATTGGAGACGGAAGACATCATTATGTGTAGTGCGGTTAGATTAGATCATTCAGTTCAATTCTTGCTGTCCATTGTACGTGACTGCTATTTCTTTTAGAACAGTTATTTTCTTTGTGTTTCAAAGTTTTTTTTTTTTTTACTTTGGTGCATCTACGTTCCAAACCAAATAGACTCTAGTATGAAGTGATTTATATAAATAATAAATAAATAAATATTTTTAAATTGAAGAAACATGGATACCATAACGCAAAATAAATTAATTTCTTACATTTTTGAAGAATGGAAGATTTTATTGATCTTTGTTGCAATTTATTCGATATATTACTATGGTACATACAATTACGACTATTTTAAAAAGAAAGGAATCAGTTATATTAAGCCTGTAATATTTTTTGGTAGTGTATGGAAACGGGTAACAAAACAAATTTCTTATCAAGACTATCAATTGTATGTTTATAATTATTTTAAAGAAAAGAAAAAACCTTATGGAGGTAAGATAATTAAAAAATACTGTACTTTATTTACTTGATATTTATTATTGTAACGTAGATATCAACTAGAACATCTCAGATAGTGCTTATATAACATTGCATTAAGATTTATGTAGTCAAGTGTTTAAGTATAAAACTTATAAATACAAAATTAAATTAACTTGCATATATTGGCTGTTCGGATATCCGTTTTTACATGCGAAACTTTTTTCAGGCATATTCCTAGGACGGAGACCAACGCTGTTTATAATAGACCCTGATTTTATTAAAGCTGTTACAACTCGAGATTTCGAATATTTTATGGATAGAAATTCCATAGAGACTAATGAACCGAGATACCTGAAACGATCATTACTTAACCTGAAGGTAATTATGAAAAAACTATTTAGTGAAACATATTTCTTATTAAATATATTAACAATTATTATAAGGGCCCGATTTAAATTGCTTGAGTCATCGCATTCCGTAGCCGGTGGTGCTCTATTTTCATATATGTTTTTTTTTTTATTATTTTTTTTTTTTATTTCAACGAAAACATTTTTACATAGTGGTGTTAACACAACTTGGTGCCATTAAACATACAATGTTTATATTGGCACTGCACAGTTCACATTTATATTAAAAGTTAGTTATAGGATACAATATAAAGTTTAAATAATAAAGTAACAATGCAATATACTAGGTACAATACTAACATTAAAAGTTCATGAGTTACCCACCAATAAAGTAGCCCTTTGACGGTGAGAGAACCTTTGAGATCGGCCCACCAGCCCCCAAGTTCTTTCCTTGAATACAAAAATACAACTCTCTCCTCTGTATTGTCCTCTGTATATATCTATATTATATTATACAAATCTTGTAAAATATATTATATAGAGAATAAGAAATAAGATATGTGGGTAATACAATTTTAATATTAACTGTATCTGAAGCTACGAATATTTCACTGTTTCACGCGAGATAATAAAATATTCCGAGTTAACGATACAAAAAACATAATTTCGCATTGAAAAACTATTAAATCTGCTGTTTTTTGTAATTTTTGTTTTCTATCGTGCGTGAAACAAAGTATTTATATTTATTTTGTAGGGATCGGAATGGAAAGCAGTTCGCAGCACTATAACACCATCTTTCAGCTCCTCGCGACTGAAGAACATGATACCTCTGATACAACAGAGTTCAGATCAAATGGTTAAATTCTTACAACATTACGGTAATTGTTTTAATCATACGAATATTATTAATGCGAAAGTTCAGATAGTTTGTAGCCTAAACGGCTGGACGGATCTCGCTGAAATTTGACATAGACGTAGAGGTTAGTCTGGAAGAACACATGGGCTACTCACCATTATTTTTTAATTTCGCGCGATCACAGTCGCGGGCAAAATTCAGAGATAACATGAAAAAAAAAAAAAACAGAGATAAACATATTTTTGTACAGGTTGCAGCAAAAACCAATGCTTAAGTGGCATTAACTTAATTCTCAGAGTTACTTATAGCTTAACAAAAATACAAAAATTCTAGACAGGGGACTCTTCATTGACTTCTTTATAACTATCTTATGTGTGCAAAGATATTATTTTGATATTTTTCTGCAATATAGATTGGGTTTACATATTCCTGATTGTAAAAAGAATGTTTGTATTTCTAGATAAAAATGACGTTGAAATGAAGGATCTAGTAGGTCATTTAACACTGGAAGTGATCGGCGCGTGTGCATTTGGGATCAAAAGTGATGCTTTGACTGACGAAAACGCACATTTTGTTAAGGTATTGTATTAACAACACGTCATATTCATCAACATCTATCTCCTTATCCTACTCCCGTAGTGTCGGCGCAACAGGTTTTTGTCCTCCACATAACTCTATCATACGTCATCTCAGTCATCACTCCCTTTTTGATCATGTCACCTTTTACACAATCCATCCATCTCTTTCTAGGTCTACCTCTACCGTAAGGGTACATCCCTTCCACACTCATATCTTCCGTTCTCCTTGTAACATGCTATTCATCCCTCCTCATAACATGCCCATACCATGCTAACCTTTTACTCCTTACCTTCTCTACTATGGGGGCTACTCTCAAACTGTGTTAAAAAGGAAAAAGTTATAACTTAGCTTTTGACATACTAGTAACTTAATTTCGCAAGTTTATCAGCTAATAAGCTATTTTTTCAGTTAGCGGAAAAATTCGGAGAAATAACAACAAACAGGAAGATTCTTGTAATGATGTTTATAATGTTTATGCCCAATTTAATGAAATATTTTAACCTGTCCTTTTTGAATATTGATGCCATCGAAGAACTGGTCAAAATTTTGAAAGTCACTAAAGCTGAGAGAAGGAAAGCCGAATCAAAGTGAGACACATTTCTTTCTACGTTTCTGTCGAATTTGTGTTTGTTTAGTTCAATATATTATTTTACGTCAAAAGCGTATTAAATAAAGTGGACATATTTGCTAATTTTTTTTCAAGGTGTTTTAATATTTTTTGTATTTCACAGAAAAAGAGATTTCCTACAACAGATAATAGAAGCGGCAGACAAGGAAAGGGAAGAAGCCGAGAAGACGGGCGGAATTATTCGTAAGCAATATTCAGTTTCATTTTTTTATAGCGAGAGTTTCTTCCAAGGAGTACGCATCTATTTTAAACATCTGGTGGCTCACCATAAAAGTTAGAGGTTGATTCAAATACATTGGAAACGTGGATTTGCGAAATGCGATTTTGACCTATAAATAAAACAGTACTTATATCGAAAGTAGTTTTTGGTGAACCATAAAACAATGTCCATAAAAAAATTACTAGCGGTCAGAGTTAAAATACGTGTTTGAATAAATATCTTGCTCTATGTTTGAGTTAAGTCATTGTCTATGCTGCGTATAAAGCAATTAATTGTTTGATAATAAACAACTTACCTTATCTTATTCGTTGTAAATTACTGATATCATTTACAAATGTCTTCCATTATCAGGATAATTGCGTTGTGGTTTATTGTGGGTAGTTTAATGGTCTTTATAATTAACATTAATACAAAGTAATTCTAGTGAAACATCTATTGATATTTAATTTCATTAATTTGGAACTTATGACTTCAAATAATTTTATTTTGATATTAAATCAAAATTATTCTCATAAAAGTCATCAAAAAACTTAGATATATCGAGGCAATTAGAATTTCCTTTGACGCTATGTAGGGTAGTTCTAACTCTTTTCTGTACGCACAATAAACGAAGAAATGATTACCGGATATATGAAAAGAAAAAGAATGTTTCCTTTATGACTTTCTTTTTTAGATCTCGACGAGGACACAATAGATGGCCAATCATTCCTCTTCCTCATAGCAGGGTATGAGACATCAAGCACATTGTTGTCGTTCGGAATTCACACTCTGGCTGTCAACGAGGAGTTACAGAGAAAGCTGCGTGAACATATTCTAAAGGTTACAGAAGGAAAGGAAATTACTTACGACACATTGTCAGAATTAGATTATCTTGAAGGATTCTTGTTAGGTAATTTTGATTATCCATTTTTAGCTTTCCAAATTTGCCTATGACTCTGGGGAAAAATACCAATCGGTGCAATATTGCTATGATCTAATTGAGTATTTTATAATATCGTATGACTAACGAGCAAGCGGCCATCAGAATTCGCCGTAATGGCGAAGTGACCGCAGTCCATAGGGAATCGAAATTACAGATGCAGTGCCTTCCATCAGTCTATAAAAGAAGGAATGCACATTAAGGGGTTTTTTTCCCTTCATATACGTCCATTCCTATGCCAAATCTATTTCCCTTCTTATTTAAATAAAACATGGGAAGGGAAAGGGACTAAAATTAGATCCTAAAAAGTCACTAACACCGACCACACAAAAGACTGACGTCAAGTGAAAGTCCTTCTTCAACTTCACGTCTGGAATTGCACTTTACGTCTGTCTTGTTAGATCATCAACCAACATTTTCATTTCATTTTCACAGTGGTAGTGCCCGCTTTAACATCTTAGCACGAATGGGCCGGCACGCCCGGTGTAATACCACGACCACACAGAAGACAGACGTGA